CCGATCTATCCTCTTGTCAGCCCTCTCCATGCTTAATTAACTTTACCTACCTCCTCGGAAACACCCGCACGGCCGACTCACGATTTCCGGTAACATTTCGAAGTCTCGTTACCTTTACGTAACTTGGCCAGTTAGTTCATATACGCCTCTGGCGATGTGTACTTTGCCAAGTCGTGAGCTACGTACAAAAGCACGAAAGTACCTATGCTTCACAATGTAGCACGATAGGAAGTCTCTTTCAGTGCTACACTGCATTTCCGGTTAGACCCTCTAGTGAAAATCCGTGCTGCTCACAGAATCATGAGAGCATTCCACTGTTGCTGTTCTGTTTTTTTACAGTGCCTAAAAGAGCACGTGGAAATATTCCCCAGATAATTACACAAAATTACTCTAGATGCATTTTAGAACAATTGTGTTATTATTTGACGAATATCTACCTTCTTCAATATCTAATTACACATCGAAGCGTAAAGTTGCAATTTCGCACGACTCTCTAGTGATTTACAAAATATTTCCTCCACTCAGAAAACTTTCTTGCAGTTGGAATATCTTCTTCAAAATTGTGACCCCAAATTTTCCCCGTTCGAGGGACCGCGAATTCATAATCAGATTATCTTCCAAATGATATCTTATTATGAGGCATTAATCACAAGAAAATTTCAAACTGAAATTAAGAAAAGTTCCAGAGACGTAAATAGGAAGGGCAATAGTCCGTTAACTCGTCAGCCTGTACTTTTGACATTCTTCACTCGTATTTACTTAAAGTAAGTTTAATGTATAAAAAATCACTGACCAAAATGAAGTGGAAAAAAACTTTTGTTCATTAATAGACTCGAGGTGATTCGGCTAATGAAATTTGAACTTGGGTAGACATAGGCGGACAGAGATCGACTTGCCTTTGTGCCTATACGGATAAAGAAATGCATTTGTATAATTCGTTCTATACCACAGCAACCCTTCGTTTCAACCCTCAATATTTTATTGGTTTTGACGTTGGTCTTCAAAACTGATATCAAATATTAAAAGAACAACATGAAAAGTATTAAGATTTCATAAATAAAATTTAATTCCGTATCAACGAAAGCAAAGAAAGTCAAAAGTATATGCTGACACATTAATAGACTTTGACCCTCCTATATCTGTGGAACCTGTGATTTGTTCAACTTAAAATTTTTTTGTGACTAATACTTTATCATGAAGTATCATTTGGCGTACGATTCTATTCCAAATGCCCAGTCCCCTAAACAGGCGAAAAATCATAATTTTTGGGGTCAGTCTATCTGTGAACCTTTGAAATGATACAAGTAGCATTAACGGTCTTGTGAATGTACTGGGTATTGTAACGAAAATTCATAACGATAAGAATAAAGCATTATCCAAAATTCAGACTTGACAAATTTGTACAAGTGGGATGAAGATTGATATTTCTAGTTTGCAAAAATTCAAAGAGCTCGAAGAGTGGATCTCCTTGTACAAAGATCTTGCAGAAATCTTTGTGAGATCGAAGAAAAATCGAGTATATCATTGGTGGAACTTCTAGAGTGTGTAATAGTTTGTAATTTTGCGAATTCAGTCGTAACATACGGGGGGGGGGGGGGGGAGAAAAACCC